TCGGGCTTCAATCTCATAAAGCAACCCCAAGATTTCAGTGTGATGTCATGGGGGCATGAGGCAGCCGTCTGATGCCTCACAGTAATGGATACAGAAGAACTAACATAGGGAACTCCTTGTGGGCAGAATAAGACAATGATGCCAGCCGTCCCTATGATTATTGTAAACAGAATAATGCCCTCCACCAAGATGTTCACATCCTAATCGCTGGAATCATGAATAGGTTACGATATGTGACAAGGGATATTAAGTTAAGGTTGGTACTCATCTGAATTTAAAATAAAGAGATTATACTGGATTATCCAGGTGGACCCCAAATAATTACCATCCCCTTTAAATGGGTTAGAAGGCAGCACAAACGTCAGAACCAGAGAAATGATAACATGAGAAGAACTTGAATGGCCACTGCCGGTTTTGAAGACAGAATCAGGCCACCAGCTACAAAAGGCAAGAAAACAGATTCTCCCCTCGGGCAACCTGGGGAAACACAGTCATTATGTGATACCTTGACTTTTAGCCCACTGAGACCATTTCAGGCTTCTAACTGCCATAACTTTAAGAGAATAAATTCATATTGTCTTCAGCCAGTAATTTTTTTTGTAGTTTCTTGCGGCAGCAGGAGAAAACTAATATAGAACCTTGCCAGAATAATTCAGATGGATCTTAGAAATCCTTGCTAGAAGAGTGACATAATTGCTAAACATAAGTGCTTAGTATTCATTTTGCACGCCAGTTATGTTTTAAATATTTATAATCCAACTTTGATTATATGAGAACAACAGCAAGGCCATCCTAATTAACAGATATACTTTGAAGATCAGAGCATAGTCTATCCACTAATATTGTTGGGGGATGTTTTAGGTATTGATTGGAGTTAATTTTCCAGAACAAATCTGTGATTATAGTTAAGATGGGAGAATACCACACATTAACAACATGGGCCCCATTTGCTTCAGTCAAACCAGGACTAGGTTGCTTTTATAGTCGCTCATCCTGCGGGGCCCAACAATAACAATTCTTTTGACAAACACTGGTTATGTCACACCTGCTGCTTCCCAGGCACTGTCGTAAGTGTGGTGAGGTGATGGCAACAAACAAGCTCCTTGCTCCTGTGCAGTTTACATTCCGGTAGGCGCCCATAGCTAATGAAGGGCAAACACAAATAATTCAGTAATACTTGCCTCTCAGGCAAAGGGTGATGGATCCCTTTCCTGAGGCTACTCTAACAAAGTGCCACAAACTGGGGGGTTTAAACAACAGAAATGGATTATCTCACAGTTCTGGAAACTATGCATAGAAATCTGAAATCAAGGTGTTGGCACAAGGTGGATTCCTTCTGAGGACCGTGAGAGGGACTCTTTTCCGTCCTCTCCTGTAGCTGCTGGGGACTCGGTTGTTCCTTGGCTTGTAGATGACAGTCCTCCTGTGTCTCCACATCATCTTCCCTGGGCATGTGTCTGTCCTCATCTCTACATTTCCCCTGTTTCTAAGGATACCGGTCACTACGGTAGGACCCACCCTAATGACCTCATCTTTGCTTGATTATCTATGTTCTGGGTAACCTATCTGCCTTCTATATTATCTATTTCAGAATAACGTCACCTATGTAAGAACTGGGAGTTAGAACTTCAGCACCTTTGGAGAGCAAAGAACATAATGCAACCCAAAACAGGTAGGTGGAAAGGTGCTGAAACCAACTAACTAGAAGCAGGGAGGGGCGAGTTGAACCCTTGGGAATTTCTCCAGCCAGCCCTCCCTATGCTGGAGGAGCGATGGTGAGCCACAGAGAATATTCTTTACCCTTTCCTTCTTGTGCTCCCTGTCACTAAGCTCTCTCATTCAGAATCTTTTCTCTGTTTCTTAGTTTCACCGTCACCCAGCATCTGCATAACGACACTGAACTGACCATCTTCCGTGTAGGGAGACTCTGGTGCACACAGATGATTCAGATCACAATTGAATCGAGCTTGACTTTAATTGAGTCATCTTTGGGCCCTTACAAATACTGTCCTGTCATGTCTGAAAGTCAAATGACAAGGTAACAACCACACACACGTTTGTGCCTTGCTTCATAAGGTGCTTCCTCAGAGACAGCTCACATTTTGTCTTCTCGACAGCTGTATGAAACATAGATTAAATATTCCCAGGTAATGAAGATATTTGCCTCAGTGATGTTACCACCCACAAAGCTCCTCTGTGGTAGGTATGAGATTCAAACACAAGTTGGTACTGTTTTGCTTACGATCAAGGCTTGAAATCATGTGTCGGGCAGCACCTGTGGCTCAAAGGAGTAGGGCGCCGGCCCCATATACCAGAGGTGGTGGATTCAAACCCAGCCCCAGCTAAAAACTGCAAAAACAAAAAAATCATGTGTCGTTGGAAATTATTTGAAAGTGGCAGAGACGGTGATGCTGAAGAGTGACAAAATACTGGAATGCAGTCCTACTACTCACTAGGGAGAGTTGACACCAAAATTATTCCTTCCCACTGCATCTCACTCACACTCTCTTCAGGTGAACTGAGAAACTGCCTCTTCAGGATTTCAGCTCCCTGCTTACTGTAAAGCTGATCAATCTTTCTTCCCTACCAGAGACATGTCATGATCAATATTTCCCTGCATTGAAAACCCTATGTTTTATCACAAAAGATCTAGCTTTGAATTTAATTCCATTTGGCTCACTTTCATTCTCCTAATAGTCTTTTAAAAAAATGTATATCAAAAGAAGTTTCAAAAGGCAGATTATCATTACCACATGAGCGCTGCTGTAAACATGCTTCAGGGAGAGCTTAATGCTGCCAAAGCCACTGGGAGGGCGAGCCGACCCAGGGGTGGTTATTAACTGGGAAGGGACATTGCCTGTGTGCTACAGAGAAGGAGGAAGTCTCACTTTTCATTACGCTTTACTCTCTGTTTTCTCCATAACCTTTGGTGGAATTTGCTAGGTGGCAGGACAGTCCATGGGCTTCAGGCAAGAGGAAGAAAAAACTTAATGCGATTAGGTCAAAGACTACACTGCTTCATAATGAAATCTCTGAGAAGAGCCCTTAATTCCAAAGCTGGAAACTTTGAAAGGTTAATAGCGGGAAGAACTCCATGACCAGGAGACAGTCGCATTCCCTTCTGGAGAGGGGTCTGGGTCGAGCACAGAGAGTGCCCCGCTCTGTATGCAGAGCTGAGTGCAAAAGTGAGGAATCCCCAACCCGGCATAAACCAGGCTGCTTTATTTCCTTGATTTTCGCCCAAACTGAAGATATTCTTTGTATTGGTTGACATCTCAGCTCTCATTTTGAAAAAGTTATTTTGACCTCTGTGTGAGAATTGCATTGGTTTTTCCATCGTTTCCATGTCCTGCCACAATATCATGCCAACAAAACAGACAAGGACTTCCAGCAAAGAGCTTATTGTGAGTTTCACAAACAGAAAACCTACTTGTCACAAGAAACGTAAGTGCACAGGAAAAATGGATTCTACGTTTCCCTTGAAAGATACTGAGAGACAACTCTGGGCCTTAGGCTTGCCCCGTTGGTTAGGGCAGGCATTTCTGGAGGGCTTGTTGAACAGAGGCCGAGTTTCTCAAATCCCTCAAGGCCAGCAGTCGCCTGGTGGTCTACACAGTATATCCCTGGCAGGCTCGGGGCTAGGACTCTGGGAGTCCTGCTGACCACAGTCCAAGATCCCGTGCCCCCCTTTGTCCTGGGCCACAGATGGCCCTATTTTTACCTGGTGGCCGAGAACAGAAGGCCTAGCAACCAAAGATTACCACCACCCCACCTTAGTCCTGCCCCGGGCTAGACAGAAATCACTGAGGCGAGTTAGGCGAGTTTGTCCCTAATTTGTAAAGTTTAAGTTGTAATCACCCGGTGTGCCTCCAGGATTGTCCCTCCCTTTGTTTCCCTTCTTCTGATTGTTAATGATTACTTGAGGCACCCTACCTTGAATAACTCAGATTAAGTTTATGCACTATACTGTTGACTTGAATGATTGATAATTTTTGATTGGTAAAGAGACATAGGGGAGAACGGCCCTATTGCACTTGCTGGCTTCTCTGAGATGCTGCTGGCTCTGTGTTCACCCCTCACAGGCCCATGGGTTATTCACCTGAGATAACTGCCTCTGAGTTTTTTCTCATGTCAGCTGCCCTCAGTGCAGACCCTGACAAAGGTTGTCTGGGGACCCAGGCCCCCACAGACAGCAAGAAATGCAATCTCGTCAACTGTTTGAAGGAGACAACAGCCATGGTCTTCAAAAATCTCCTCAAGTAGTGTAAAACACATTGTGATATTTAGAACTTGGATATTCGAGAGAGTGATGACATTCAGTTAAATCAGAGCCTTCAGAGAGACGAGCTCTTAGACACATCTGTTTTGAAGTCAATTTCATCAACTGCACAAAGCTTTGATGAGTTAAGCTTTGGAGCTCTTTATAGGTTACAAGGGGTCATGTATGATGCTCTCTGATCCCTCTATCCAGTCCTTAATGTAGAGAGGACCATAAAATGTTGATATCCACATTTTATTGACTAGGAAATCGAAGCCCAGAAGATCAACGCAATTTGCTTCAGTTTCAGATATTCACTGTCACACCCCAGACTCTGGTTAGAGAACTGTAATGTACAGACTACATTATGACTCATTTATCAAAACTATTCTGTCAGCAAAAGAACTATTACATGGCACCCACATCATCTGCAGCTTCAGTTACCATTTAAAGACTGATGATGCCCAAGTCCACACCTGCAGGAAAACCCACAGGCTAGATTTCACTCACTTGGCTAGCCCACAAGCACCCCAGATTCAACACGTTCAAAGCAGATGCACCCTACAGGCTCCTCATGGCACGACCACTCACCTGGCTGGCAAAGACAGATGTTACAAAGAAATTGTTGGAGGAAACTCTCTGACACGGCCAGACTTCATTCATTCCATTAGCCTCTCTCCATGGCCTTGGCATTTATGAATTTTAGCAGATGGCATCCTCTGTCTTCTCTGCTCCACTTCTCTGCTCCACACCAGGATACTTACATACTGTGTCCCCTCAATATTTTGGAGGGACTATGTATGTGTCACTTGATGGGCATGCCATATGTCCACTGAAATGGACCTGAAACTTTAAGAAGAGTCACAGATTTAGAGAAAAAGTACAAGAGGAGTGGAGAGAGCTCCCATATACCCACACACTCCCCCCCCCATTATTAACGTCTAACATTGGTGGTTTCTTTGCCACAATTAACAGGCAAATGCTAATTATTAATAACTGAAGTTTATTTTATTCAGATTTCCTTTTTTTCTAAAGTGAATTTATTTCAGGTTAATGTTGAGGGTATAAACAAGCAGGTCAAAATATTTGATTTTGTTAGGTAGAGTCCCTCTTGTGGATTTGTCCCACACACAAAAGGTGTGCAAGCACCCCAACCCCCTGCCCATTTAGTGAGAGCATCCCAACCCTCTCCCTGTCCCCCCAGCTTGAATTGAAATGAGTTTTCTCCCATATGGGCATGCATTAGGTCGTCTGCTGGCTGCGCATTAGTCTTGAGTATGTGCCAATGTGCGTGTCATTGTGGACTTGCAGTATTTATCTTATACTTTGGGTTACGGTCTAAAACTTCATTTTGTTGCTCATATGTTCAGCTTTGGCTACTGAGAGCTCTTTCATCTGGAAAAATTCTTTTATTTGTTTAACACAGACACATATATAACCTACATATATAAAATTCATGAATACAAGTTTGATTTTTATGCAATTTGGGGAAATAGCATATGCTATGTAATTTAGATGCTTAGGACTCGACTTTAGTGAGCACTAACATTGGGCTCTCTGTTCCTTTCTCTCTCCTTTCCCCCTCCTTTTCTTATTTTAACAGTTATAAAAATATATAACACTTACTCATCCTCATGTTGCACCTAACTAATCCGCACAGCTAGCCTGGCAGGATAATGAAGGATTTTTATCTCTATCTCACAGATGAGAAGCTGAGACACAGAATCACTAAATGAAAAGTCCCAAGGCTTTGCGTGCCACACTAGGGAAATCAAACCCACCCCTGCTTCATCCCGGGCCTGCCCAGCCCTCCCACCGAGGGCTGGCTCACCTTGCCTTTCACTTGACTGTGAGGGTGAGACTGGCGAGCAACATGTGCCCTTGGCAAAGGCTGGAGCTCTGTGAAAGGTACAAGCAGTGGTGCTCGGGCCGCAGCCAAGAGGTTCAGGGCAGGTTTATTGAAAGGGGAGGATGACCTGCCTGGTCAATGCAAAGGTGGTGTCTGCACCTGGAGGCAGTTGGAGACCCACCCACCCCCGGCTTTTATGTGGGGCGGTAGGGCGGTTGCAAATTTCACAGCTTTCCAGGAAGGTTAGAGCCCTTTATCCACAACTTCCAGGTGGTTAGCCAGATCCTTTGTGTCTTTGACTTAGGAGGAGAGGCGGAGGAGGAGAAAGGGTTCACGTGTGGCTGTTAAGCCCCACACTCTGGAGCAAAGGTTAGCCAGGGTGTTCGGGAATCCGTAGTTCCTCAGGTGTGTTTTGCCTCCTTCAGCATTAGAGCCTAGCAGAGCAGGAAATTTCAGCTGCTTCTCAGGATCAACTGGCGTTCTGAATTCCCAGTGCCCCCGAGAAGCTTCACAAACAAGCTGCTTATTTTTGCCCTGATCCCACAAGACTTTTGTTTAACATCTAGTTCCCTGTTAGTTTTAACCTTCCTTTCAAAACAAACCAGGTTCATTTTTGTTCGGAGAAGTTAAGCCCTATTAAGCCACTGTTCAACATGACAGGAGATGAGATTTCCAGCTCCCAGTGCCGCATTAGGCAGGGAGCGAAGAGGAGAGAAAAGGAAGCAGGCACACACCTGGTAAAACAGACAGGGCCTGGGTTCTATTTCGGGCTCTGCCCATAATGAGCTTTCTGATCTCAGGTCACCTCCGGGCTCTCCCTGGACGTCAGTCTCTCAATCTATAAAATGCAAAGGTTGAGGAAATCACAGCCGCCTTTCAAACCTTGTCATTCAACTTTTCACAGGGATGATTTCATTTGATACATACATAATTGAGTAAAAGTTTCACTAACCACACTCTGATTTTTTTAACTTTTAAAAATGAGTTATATATTTTTTAATTGACAAATTAAAATTATATATGTTTAGGGCATATGACACGATGGTTTGATAGGTGTATACGTCGTGAAATGGGTAAATTGAGCTAATTAACATATGGTTACCATTTTTATGTGTTGATACTCTGAGATTTGAATTGATACTCTGAGATGTCCTATTGCAAATCATTTATTTTATTTATTTTAACACAGGTTGTTTGGGACCTTGTACAATCAGTTTTATAAGCCACTAATAGAGAACAGTCTAAAAGTCACGTGGTGAGATGGTATCCGAGACATCACCCAGCATTCAACTGTCACACTTCTAAATCAGGCCTGGATGAGATTCTGACTGTCAGAGCCACTGGGTACATCCTATCATTGCCCTGGATTTTGTCCTGACTCTGCAGTAACCCTATGACCTTGAGCAAGAAGCTCAACTTTCTGAGCCACAGTAATGTTATTGCTAAAAACAGTATGTTGTCAGAAATACATTGGATAATGCTAGTATGCTAGTAGCAATACCTAACATTCCATGCAAAATATATGGTATTATTATTGATCCTGCAATCCCATTACTAGGCACCTACCTAGAGGGAAAAAAAATCCTTTTTTCATAAGGATATTTGCACTAGACTGTTTATCGCAGCTCAATTAACAATCGCAAAAACATGGAAACAACCTAAATGCCCACCAACCTAGGAATGGATTAACAAGCTGTGGTATACGTATAGCATGGAATACTATTCAACCATTAAAAAAGATGGAGACTTCACATCTTTTGTATTAATCTGGATGGAGGTGGAACACATTCTTCTTAGTAAAATATCACAAGAACAGAGAAGCAAGAATCTAATGTGCTCAATTCTAATATGAAGACAGTAGATGAGTTAATATAAGGTGGGGGGCAGGGGAATAAGGGAGCGGGTAAAGGGGAGGGGGGAGGGGGTCATGGTTTATGGCACACCTCTTAGGAGTGGGACACAATTATAAGAGGGACTTTACCTAACAAATGCAATCAGTGTGATCTAATCCTTTGTACCCTCAATGAGTCCCAAACAATAAAAAAACTAAAAAAAAAAGATGAAGACTCCAATAAAGAGCAAAGAGTTATCTACAGGGTCTGAGGCTTTTCCATGGGGAAAGAAGAGGAGCAGTGCAGATGGCAGTGCAGGTGGGGTCCTGGGTGGCTGGGTGAGTCTCTGATGCACCTTCGGGCATAGTTATCTCTCAATGTCAACTGGCCATATCTCAAAATGCCTTAGGTGATGTGAGTGCTGAGAGAGAGTCAGAGCCTAGATATTCTCAACCATGTACAGTTAGTTGCTGTCAGATTACAATGATAGTATTATATAATTTATCATATAATTGTAATAAATTAGAGAAATTTAGACTAAAATGAACAACAGACTCCCTTTCAAATACTCTTTTACTTTGTCCAGAAATATTTCTTACTGTATCTTCACTCGGTACTAGCCTCTACTTATCTGTTCCCAATGCCCACCTCCCTGACTCAAGCCCCTTCAGTAAACAGCCCATCTCCAGGCTCTTCAGCCCTCCAGGACTGTTTTCTAGTAAAGGAATGGGCTGATCGAACCACAGCAAGCAGACTCACTTGTCAGCAGGTGTCATCATTAAAGTGGAGTCTTCTAGGAGGAAAGGGAATTATTTCTACCCTTTGAAACATAGCAGGTACAAGGGAAAATTCAAATTAAAAACAAGAAACCAAATTTTCCCTATTGAGTATAAGAAAAGAGAATCCTCCTCCCTCCTTTTTCTTAGGCCAATTACTTTAGAAAACTTGTAATTGTGAATTCTTTTTCTATCTCTCTAAAATATATGTAAATCATTTTTAAAGGCTAAATAGGCTTCATGCTAGTGTGAAGATTCAAAATGTCTTTCTCCAGGACCTGGGCACCATCCGATTGAAATACAATCATAAAGAAGACAGCATCCCTATCTTCCAGTGTCTGTGGGAGAGCAGGTGCCCTAACTTAGACAGGCACCTCACTTCAAGCTGCAAGGACACCTCCTGCCATAAAGATATGAAAAGTTTATCTGTCCTTTGGATAAAGCCAGCTAGCTAACACAGATGGTCACTCTGATTACAAGGTAAATTTCAGATGAACTACGTATGACAAATTGTACTGTCTGGTCCTGCTACTATAAGGACAAGTTACTATTATTTATCTTGAGAACATGCACACATAATGGGTTGCATCTGCTTGTCTATTTAAAAGGCGGGGATCTTCTTTTGTTTTTGCACTCTCTTTAGCAGATTTCCCACGATGTATGTCACATTCTAGTTTAATATTATTCAGTAATAAAACTGTTTTCTTTCTTTCCTACCTTCATGGAGAGCTTTTCTGGATTGATAAATATGTGAGTGGTCTTGGATTTCCATAAAAATACCATAGACTGGGCAGCTTAAATGACACACAGTTATTACATACAATTCTGAAGGCTGGGAAGTTCAAGGTCAAGGTTCCAACAGATTTGGTGGCTGGTGAAGGCTCTCTTCCTAGGTTGCAGACAGCAGCCTTCTGGTTGTATGCCCAGAGAGCAGTGAGAGAGGGAGCTCTGATCTCTATTCCTTTTCTAACAAGGACACTAATCCCACCAGGAGGGCCTTACCCTCAGGACTCCATCTAACCCTAATAACCTCCCAAAGGCCCCACCTCCACATACTATGTCCTTGGGAAGAAGAGCTTCAGCATAAGAATTTTGGAAGGATCCAAGCATTAGGTTCATAACAAGAGAGAATTTTGTGTTAATTGTATTTTCTCAACACAGTCCCTCCTGCAGCCTCCACCACATCAGTCTGGAAGTGGGTGTGGGTGCAAAGCAGGCTGGGAGTTCTTATTCCCCCATCCCACATAAAACACTCTGAGGCAGGGTCAGGACAGGTAGAGATGAAGTTCTTCATGACTAGAAGCTAAAAGCCCATGTTCTCACTAGTGATATCTTTCAAAAGCAAGAGAAGCCAATCAAGAAGGAAATCGAGGTTCAAATACCCCAGAAGAGAATTTTAAAAGGAATTCCCACATCTCCATATCAAAAGTGGACAAAGCTGTCATAGGTCGGGTCACTCTGAGGGCCTGAGAGAGAGATTGGAATCCACAGGAGAAGGGGGGAAGTTCGGCAACAGTGTGGTCACACTGGAGACAGATTCTAGTTTGATTCCCTAGAAAGAATCCGGAGCACAAATCATAACACAAACTAATGACACCTCGAAGCAGAGGAGCTCCCCTCTGCATCCCCACATCCATCAGTCAATCCTTCTTACAAAGCTGTGATTGTGGGGATGTAGCTTCCTGGTCAAGGTGACCTGTGTCAGCTGAGAGCAATTTCCCAGAAAAGAGGTCACCCCTGCACCATTAGCAGCCAGCTCTGTAGCAGTTAGGGAGCAGGTGCACAGCCCAACTTCTGAGCTGCTACAAATGACCAGGGAAATGGCTGTGGAAAATAAACAAGTGCAGTAAATTGGCAGCCTGCTATAATGAGCCAAAATCACACGTGAGGACATGACCCTGGTTTTAAGGAAAAGGCTGCAGGACCCCTTGGAGAACTTTAATTCTATTCAGCCACTTCTAAGCATATGAAAAGAACCCTCTCTTCTCTCCTCCCCTTTCCAATCTTCTTTATCTGGTGGGGGAGGGTGGGTGTGTGTGTGTGTGTGTGTGTGACAGTTGAGCAGCGCACATTTGAGGATTTCTGACACTGCTTAGAGATCCCCTGAGCTCTTTTCCCAAAGTCTTGTGACTAGTATGAATGGAATTTCTAATCCCAGACCTGGTGATTCCAAGGTCCACATGGTAACCTTGGTACAGTTTAGAGACCTGGGTTCTCTTCTTGCTCAGTATGGACTTGGAAAATTACTAAATATCTCTGGCCCTCAATTAATTCATCTGAAATGAGATACACTAACACAAGCCTTCCTGCTTTAGAGGACCAAGCAAGCTTGGGCCCAGGAGGTTGAGGTCTTAGCGATCTATAATAATACCTCTGCACTCTAGTCTGGGCAACAGAGTGAGAGTTAGTATCAAAAGAAAAAAAATGTACAGAGGATCAAGCCACATAGCAGATATGAAAGTATTTGGAAAGGTCTAAAGCACAGTAGAAATGTAAACATATAATTACCCTGATTATTAAGAGGATAAAAATCAGGAGGAACACCTGTTGGATGGAAAATTTATTAACACGCTGAAACTATGGCAGGGTGAAGAATTTTGGGGGAAGGCTTTCCTGGCTTCCCAACCACCAGGGAACTGCAGAGGATGCCCTGACAACTCAACAAGCTCCTAGAGAAGCAGCTTCCAAAGGACTTGTGAGTGTGTGATTCACAGAAAGGCCTGCCTATCTGCCAAGATTCAGGCTATTACCTGGTGACAGTTTTTTACAGGGATATTTTACATCTGAGACCTGGCAAGTGGTTTCTGGCAGCACCCTTATATATTTTATAGTTTTTATTGTATTTCTGAGACAGCAATGATGAATGGCCTCTAGAAAGAATCCCATTCTCACATGAAAAGAAGAGAAAGAATAAAAAGTAAGCAGCTTTATGGCCACAGGAATGTTTGACGTCTGACCAGCACTGTTACATGTGGAGAGATGGGTAATTTTTCAAGAATGGCAATACTGATTGCATTAGCCTTGAAACACTGGTCTCTTTGGGTTGTAAATTTCTGCAATCTCTTGAGGCAAGACTATTTGGAAGAACAGAGGAGAGAGGGTTGCAAAGGGGTGATGGAGGGAAATAATCCTTGTCTCAGAAGTAGAAAGGAAGCCCTCCTCTGAAACTTAAACCTTAGACAATCTCACGACAAAATACCACTAATCTCTACTGGTCTCCTGAATGAAATGCATACATTTGTTAGGTAGAAATTCAAAAACTACCACCCCTCATCAAGAAAACAAATATAATTAGAAAAGTTTAAAATAAGAATGTGTTTGCTCCTTTTACCAATGGGAAAAAAGAATCCTGAAGAATTAGGTAACTTAAAAATGATGGAAATACAGGATTTTAGTGTTGAGGAATCCTTAGATAGCCGTGTGTCGATGAGTGCTTATAATTCAGGAACGCCCTGAGACAAAAATCCCAGTTTTCTGTGATAAGGATCCAAATTTCCAGAGTCACTGAGAAAGCGCTCTGCAGACAGTGAGGTGTGATATTATACGAACATATGTGTATATGGAGAATTAGCCACAGTGATTTCGTGTATGGATAACTGCAGAGGAGACAAGTAAAACGAGGTAAAGCCACTGGGATGGGGAAAACAATGAAATAAATGAGCTCCTCATGTTAGAAATTTAAAAAATCAAGAGCTCAATACAGTCTACTTGAGCTGTAGGAGTGAGGAGGTTTCCCTTCTGCCCTCTGAAGCCCTGCTGAAAATGAACAGACAATGGACAGATTAATAGGAAAAAGGGCATAAAGTTGATTTAACATGCATCAGCGTGTGGCAGTGAAGAAAAATGATTAGCCAATAACTCAGTCAAGTCCAGATGCTTATATATTCTTCCTCATGGAGGAAGGGGATATGGAGAAATTTGAGGGTTAGCAAATGATTTTTAGGGGGAATGAATGGGCCCAAGCCTCAGACAATGGTTAGGAAGTGAGTCTCTTTGGGAATTGAATGGAACCAGAGGCGAAATAAACAATTTCCAAATTCAGCAAAATGTCTATGAAAAAAAACCGTCTTATTTAGTAAATTATTTGCACTTCTGGTGCTCTTTATTTTTAAGCAAATCTTTTAGAATATTGATATTCTGTGTGCTAAGAAAGTACATTCAAGGCAAAGAAAATTTAAGCTCAAAATATAATGTATTGTGTCCATGAAAGATGTAAATGTCTTAATGTGGGAAGAATTTTTGGATCTTGACCATGACCAAAAACTGTAGTGTAAAATACTAAAGTTTATCTGGGCTGTAGGTGTGGTGTTTAATTTGCAATCTCTTCCTCTGAGATATGAGTTTTTATCTTCTCTGGTTAATGTCTTCCATTCAATTTCCAAAGAAAGTCACTTCCTAAGTATTGTCTGAGCATTGGGCCCATTCATTCCCCCTAAAAATCAAGGGAGAGCGAGAGAAGGAGAAGGGAGGAGGGAGGACAATTGGCGGGAATCTCACCTAATGGGCACAATGTGAGGGTGTTCAGCTTGCTCCTGGGTGAAGGGCTCAACCACAACTTGAACTTTACCTTAGGACTAAAAACAATGTTACCTAAAAATGTGTACCCTCATATCAGAAATTTAAAAAAAAACAATATTGGGGGTTTTGTTTTCTGAGCCCCCTCACTACTAATATTACTGAAAAAACTAATCTTATATTGCTTTATGTGTGAAAAAATCCACAATTTAGTTGATGAATAAATTTTAGAAACTCAGTATTCCACTTAACACAAACTGGTTCGTAAAAGTTAATTATCAAAATGTCAAAAACATGTTAATTGATCTGTAGTAACATAAAACATAAAATAAAAGAATCACCTGCATTTCAATAGTCACTCACAAAAAGGGTTAAATCTCGGAAACCACAGCTGAAAAACACCATTTTTGTTTTAACAGTTTAGGTCACCAGGACTGCTGCTCAGGCCCTCCGCATTTCAGACCTGCAAACTCCGCTTTCTCCCACAGTGATTTTTCTTTTTAGTGAACTATATATACCCTTCAGTTTGCTTTGTCTGATATTTGCTCTGACTGTTATCTACTTCATTCCTGCCCTCTTCTTTACACTTTTTTTTAATTTGGTGCTTGGTGAAGGAGTCGGATTGACAGCCCCAGAGACCAAAATCCTGTTTACTCAGAGAAAAAATAAAGAGAGAAAGCCCTGTGCCTGAGAGCTCCCTGACCTGTGGAGTGCTCTAGCCTTACTGCTAAGCCCTGGCACTCAGACAACTTCCCTAGAGTCTTGGTGACCTGGAAGGGAAGGCACAGTGCTGCCTTCCCGAGATCTACCTAATTCTTGGCATTTAATGTGGGTGGTAAATGAAATCTGCAAGGAGATATAGAACCTCTGCATCTCCCAGCTGTCCCATTTCTTACCCCCAATTGCAGTGGACTTGGAATAGCTCAGGTATTACATTTTCAAAAACTCCTAGGTATGTGTGTGCATGTGTGTGTATAGACATATACTTGCACACATACGTGCAGGTGTCTATGTACCTTTAGTGAATTCTCTGTCTTTCCACATATTCAATAACCCAATAACCTTGTTATATTGCAGGTTTTAATTTGAATGGTTTAATATAAGACCCCAAATTCTTCATTTCTAATAAGTTCTTGGGTGGTATTGATGCTATGGCAACTGCTATGTGTCCTGGAGAAAACAGAGGTATGTTACACCCAATCACAGACATTTTTCTCTCTCAATTATTTCTAGAGTTGGTTCTACAACAGAAATTAGGATGTTACTGTGATCCGTAAGCCACTAAATGCCTCCGGGGTAAATAAACATTGTTACCTTCTTTGTTAGTTCAGTTCATCATGGTGACAAACATTGATGGAATAAGGAAATCAGGAAGAAATAAGGAAGAATCTGCATTTTCCTAATGAACTTTCTATTGTGTATAAAGCACTGGACCAGCAGTACTTGGCCCATCTTTAGAGCCTAGGAAACGTGTACCTCACCATTATCTTCAAACTTAGGTTAGAAACCTGTTGAGGAGTTTACAACTAAAAAGAATCATTTATTAACCTACCTTTAGCTGGAGATGAGACTAAATTTCATCCTCTAAACAATGTGTCTTTTTGTCTTCTTTAATCATATTGGTTACTTTTAACATGCTACCATTTTGACTAACAATGAATAATATGACATTTTTTTTAAGTAGCTAAAAGCAACTTTTGTACTCTAACTAAATGTTAATTTTTTTTCTTTTACCTTAAGAGAATTCAGTGCCCAGACTACTCACCTATCCTCCAGGCAGAATCTTAAGGCACTTCTGTAAGGTTCACGTGGCAAGATCTATTATTAGCATCCCTCATGAAAATTTTAATTTTTTTCTTCATAATGGTTGGCCATAACTGTAAGTTGGACCCAAACAGAACTATTTAGTGAATTTCCAAGGAACTCCTTTTCCAAAGTGGTATAAAAACACACACATAGAAATAGAATATTGAGGAGAGAAACTTTTATAGGTAAAGACTTTTTTAGGGTTGGAAGTTGGGAGTTTCTGAGTGGAGAATTATGAAAGGATATCCAAGTACACAAACATCTTTTGGAAAACAATCAATGTGATAGAGACAACTGCCCCCCCATGAGCACCAGAATCCCTTATACATATCTACACAGCAAGAAAACAAAACTAAAATGTAAGCAAACTTTCTACAGGAAGAGATTTCACATCATTTTCCTTTTTTTAATGTTTTTACTTACTCTTAGTTTTTTTAACCCCACATCATGTTCAAGGCCTGATCAATAAGATATGTATAGGCAAAATGCCTGTATGCCTCTGGCCAAAAAAAGCCGTTTGAGAGAGAGCAGTGAAAAGACTTTGTGTAGGCACACTTGTGAGAAACGGAGGCAGAATCCCATGTGGCCAGATTAGTTACAGGCCTAACATGACCAAGGCTTTGGCTGGAATAGCATTTCCAGACTGCGTTAAGGAATTAAGGTTGACTTTATAAGGCCAATGAAAAAGCCCTTTGGAAAACTGGCCAGGTAGCCATCAGTAATCTTTCCTGGTCTGTGGTGTGTGACGAAGGTCACTTACTGACGGGTCTGGGAATGGTAATGTGCTAGGGGACCTCAAGAGAAGAGGAATTTACCCAATGCATACAGGTATCTAATGGCACAGATGAAACCTGGGCCATGAAAGGCTTTTGAGAAGTCCAGCCTGAGAATTCCTTATAAAAGTCTCCAGCAAAAACCCTCTGACTTAAGGCCTACATGGGAGCACAGGTTTGCACACAAATTCCTGTATGCCCAAGAAGTTTCTGTATTCTTTGCTTAAAGATTCAAAGTAACTGCCTCCAAATGGCATAGTCAGTAGAACAGATATTCAAATTGTCTTTATCCCCATAGCCTCAGGCTTCATCAGATAAGATCAAAGAAAGTAATAACTGACAATATGTTCTTCATTAAGTTACATTAAACTGGGTTATGTTGAAAGGGTTATGCTTAAAGGTGTATATTGGGTGGATTATCAGATTACCAGGGAGGAGCTACTTACAGGGCAGGTGGTCATAAGATGTTTAAATGGATTAATGAAGTCATTGATGTCCAATGTGCATGTGCAGAGGGAGTGTAATGCATATTAATGAGGTCATTGCTGTATAGTGCACATGCACAAGATTGCCTATATAAACCAACAGCAAATAAAGAAAGCTCACCATTTTGCCTGAGCGAGCAGATGGTCACCTTTATTTAAAACACAATTTCAATAAGCGTGCTTATTCTTCGTGACATAGCTTTTCCGTGAGACCCTTACAGCAACAGACATCAGTCATTCATCTCTCACATCCCTGGGTCCCTCACCTTCCCTATTAACATGACATTCTAAAACATTTAATGTCAAGAGAAATTACTTCATTCTTCTCTCTATTCTAGAAAAACAAGAGGATAACTTTTTTTAAAAAAATCAGATCACAATTGTTTTCTTTTTACATGCTTTCTAATTTGCTATGAATTTTTTTTTTAATTAGGAGAAATACCTTCTGGCTTGTGTAATAAATCCTGTTAAGAATAAAGCTCATAGCTGGGCATTGTGGTGGGCACCTGTAGTCTCAACTACTTGGGAGGCTGAGGCAGGAGAATTGCCTAAGCCCAGGAGTTGGAGGTTGCTGTGAGCTATGACTCCACAGCACTCTACCAAGGGCAAAAAAGTGAGACTCTATTGCAAGAAAAAAAAAAAAAACCCAAGAATAAAGCTCACCCTCAACAAAAATTATGCTGATTTTCAGAAATGCCCTGGTTTGAGATCACTGGGTTAGTAATAATCTGTAATAAGATCATGTTATATCTAAATAAGAAGTATACTACTCTAAATGTAAAATCTTTTTTAAAAAAATGTTTATTCATCTAAGCCTAAGATTTGTATGTCCTTACTTTATCTATCTGGTGGTTTAAAAACAAACTAACCTGGTGGTTAGTTTGTCCCAAAGTTGCAAAGAGAGATGCTTAAAACAAATTTTCTATACTTTATTCTCATAATACATTTATGAGAATTAGCAATAAGTATCATCTTAAAAAATAAAAATTCATAATCATATGAGTTTAGAGCGCATGAAACTAAACAAAGTTAAACAGATTTTTTTCCCCAAGGTTTCTCTGAGTTTTAGAGTTCCATACCAAAGACTGGCTAGGTTCTGACCAATAATATTTTCTCTTCCTGGACACATAAGAATACTACATTCCCCAGCTGCCTTATTTTTAAGGTTGGGACCAGGTGACCATTCTGTTTCCTAGAACCTGGACAGAGTGATATATGATATTTTCATGCCTTCCATCAAATGTCCCACCTCAATTTCTTTAGACTCTTTATTCCTTGGGAACTGAATGCAGAGCATCCCCACACCAAGGACAAGTGAAGACACCATGAAATGGAAGGAGCTACATCCTTAAATCACCACAGGGAAGCCACTTTCCAAGGATCTAATCACATTATAAACTTCTGAATCTTGCTTGTGTTAAGCCACTAAGAAGTTAGGGATGCTTGTTACAGCAGATAGCTTCAGTTACCCTGACTAATACATAGGTCAAGTACTTTGTGAATCTGCAAGTAGTGAATTATCAAGGAGTAGTTGATACCATTTTTTTTAAATTAGTTTCCACTGGCTGTTTTTTCACAGAACATTTTGAGAGATTACTGGTCTACTAGTTTAGTGCCATCTGTAATACTGTTCACAAGACTTCTTGTATAGAATTAAGGTTCTAAATCAGGTTTGTCCAGTGTAACACACCAGCAGAAGATGAAGGCAGAAGAGTCCATCTGAGAAGCACAGCAGAAGGGGACGTGAAGGAGACTTGAAAGATGGGAAGACGTGACCTGCCACTGCTGAGAGCAGGCCACATGGAAGACACAAAAGTGACATGGCTGCCTCTGGGAGCAAAGACCGGGACCTGGTTGTCAGACAGACAATAAGAAAATGGGGACCTCGGTCCTGTAAAGGTGCTGAATTCAGCCAAACAAGCTGAATGAGCTTGGAACTTGATTCTTCCCAGAGCTTCCAGAAAGGACTCCATCCCTGGATAAACCTTGATTTTGATCTCTTTAGGCTGTAAAGAGAAGACCAGCCTGAGCCATGTTACATCTGGACTTCTGACCTGCAGAATCAGATCATACATTTGTGTTGCTTTTAAGTCACTATGTTTGCAGTAATTTGTGATGGCAGTGATTGAAATTTATAGGTTAATTTATTTATTCCTTCAGTTCATACCAGTGGAGTGACGAGTCTGAGCAGAGATGAAGGTAGCAGAAATACAAAGTTAAAATGAAAGAATCCAGCCAGTGCAGGGTCCCAGGTCACCTGGCAGTCAGGAGGCACCTTCCTCTCCCTGTAGGAAGGGTCAGGATTTTCACCATCACATAGCAGTAATGAGGACCCATTTACCGTGGTGTCAGAGGTGACCACATGGGGAGCCAACGCTGCTAACTCAGCCCAGCCAGTGCCCAGGAGCAGACTCCCTTCCACCAGGCTCACAGAAACTAAATGGGGAATCTGAGCCAAAGAGAAAGAAAGTTTTAAAGATGGATGAAATTAGTAACAAATCTGGCAAAAAATATCAAGTAAAATAGTGATGTACAAAGGCTTCTCTTGTATGGTATTTGGAGATCATTGTGACTTTAGAAAGAAAGTGATTTAGTGGACAGTGGGGGTGCAGGCTGCTCTGCTGAGTATAATGAACGGTAGGTGAAAGGTAGACACAGTCCAAAGTGGTCTGTCTTCTTTTGTGTTTGTTTTTATAAAATGTGACTATAAAGTAAAGATATAGGGAGATACCTAGAGGGAGATAAGGGACTTTATATTTATTCAATGAAGAGAAAGTCTTCAGAGAAAAAGAAGTGAACAGGAATGGTTGATTATAATAGTTCTCAAAAGACACCCAGGGACTCTGATTACCCAGGGATGAGCCTTGGCTGGGAATACTCACTCCTCTGTCTAAAGACAAGACGGCAAAGCGAGGAGGAAGGCTGAGCAGAGAAACCTGTTGTTCGTGGCAGGGAGTCCAATCAGCAGAGTGTTCTCGAGATGGTTTGGGGATTTTCTCTGGAGGTTAGAAACACAGTAATTTCCTAATAGTGATGAGAAGGAGATGTAAGTGCTTTAGGATAGTCTAGGACAGTCATAATGAGCAAATGTGATTAAGGAGAGATTCTTTGACCAATAATTATAACAATGTCTTAAATAGTTGTTTCTTTAGAGCATTTACCTTATTTAAGAAAATACTTTCTCTTCTTCCTTTGTAAGAAAAAGGAACATTAGTAAAATTACAATGCTTTGCTAGTGGTTTTAAAAAATGAATTATAGCTCTGCCATCTCCTAGGTATTTTCAGCCAATTTCTACAATTTATTTGAAAAGAGAAAGAAAAAAAAAAGACTGATTTTTCAACTACACAATCAGGAAATCACTGAATAATAACAATTTTCTACCTTAATCAGGACAAGGCTGTATCATTCCTTGTTGACAATGAGAGGCATGTTCCCCTTTTTGGCCCATTTTTATTTTATTTCTCAGTTTTTACAAGTGAGGGTATAAGGTATGTGTTCCTGTCCTAAATAACAGGGCCCACTCCTATTCTGAGAAGCCTGAGACACACACAGCCTGTTTGGCCAATGTCTGCGAGACAGAACCAACACACAGGGGTTCAGACAGTGAAGAAGGAAGTGGATGTGTTCCTATCACATCAGCCAGTCTTATTAGTAAGCCTGGGAGAGACCCAAATGGAATAAAAATGTCACTGAACATAAATGTCTGAAGAAAGGTTTTGTCTTTGATTAAAAAAGAAAAACAAAATGGGGGTGTCTTTTTAAAGCCAATCGTACTTTATTGAAGGATCTCCTTTCTCTCTCTCTCTCTTTTGCTGTTTTGATGCTTCTGTCACCCATCAGTACAGGGATGTCTTCTCCTGGTGCCCTCTGGCTACACTAAGCTTGTGAGCAATTCTGCATACATTCTCAAACTATCCATGCCGGCATGACTTAAGCATATCAGTCACACACCGCACCAAGCTCTGTCAAATTGCACTGAACTCCATCCCTGAAAAGAAGTCACATATAGAACACTTAGATGCAGACTGGAAACATGACCCTTGAGTATGTTTTCCCATGAAGTCATAGAGCATTTATTTGTATTATTTTTCTTTCCACGTCACCAACCAAACAAGAAGTCATTGGGATTCTGGAAAAGTCAGGTGATCTTTGCTCTGGGTCTACCACAGTTAGTCAAGAGCTTGTTCAAGACATCTAACCTCTTTAGAGCTCAGACTCAGTCAAAAGGAGAAATTAAATTAGATGCTTAGATGCTGATTCACTAAGATCCAGATACATTCAAGAATGTGATGAAACAGTTGGGTTCCATCCTTGAAATATGAAATCGTGTATAGACACACAAATTTTGGAAACTTCATGAGTCACTGCAGTCTAGTTATGGACTATATTATGAGTTGAATTATGTCTCCCAAAACTATATTATGAGTTGAATTGTGTCTCGCAAATATGTTCAGGTCATAACCCTAGGTACCTATAAAGGGGACCTTACGTGGAAATATGGTCATTGCAGGTAAAACAAAATCATACTGGAACAGGGGAAGGAGGGACATCCTGAATTTAACATGATGGGTGTCATTAAAAAGAGGAGGAGAGACACATACATACTTAAAAATGCCATATGATAGTGGAGGCAGAGTTAGAACTGATGTACCTACAAGGATTGATGCCAGGTATTGCTAGAAACCACCAGAAGACAGAAAAGGCAAAGAAAGATCCTCCCCAAGAGCTTTCCAAGAGAGGTTAATTCCACTGATACATTGATTTTGGACTCCCAGCTTCCATAAGTGTAACACAATAAATTTCTGTTGTTTTAAGGCAGCCAATTTGTGGTACTTTGTTATATAGACCCCGAGGTAAGAAACCCACACACTAAGCGCTATCTCTCACCCCTACAGCCACTCCATCAGCAAGTCTTGTTGGCTTTACCTGAAAATATATCCATAAATCTGACCATTTACACAAACTTCTGCTGTGGTCCAGGCCACTGTCAATCATCTCTAGCTTACCTTAGTCAATGCTGGCCTTATGGAAAAAATGTTATGTCTCCCTTTTTCTCACCTCTTTGTTTTCTTTCTCTCTCATTACAAATCAGTGTAGACATGTTTTCCTGTTATTGGCGGTTTCATCTCTATCTTCTCAATCAAGGGCTGGCCCATGGGCCCCGCCCCACCTGGAGATGCTAGTTAAGGAGATTTTCTGGAACTTCCAAGTATAGTTGGCCTTTATCCATTCCAAGTATACCTGGCTTTTAACCTCTTGAGAAGTTACATAGAAGCTATTGCCAAAACATATAGCCTCTTGAATTTATAAACAAAATTTGTTCTTAAATTAAGTTTTATTGGAAAACAGCCGGGTCCATTTATTTACGAGTTGTATACGGCTGCTTTCATGCTATAAAAGCAGACCTGAGACTATATGGCCCACAGAGCTTAAACTAGTTATTACTTGAGCCTTTACAAAAAACATTTGCCCTCCATTTTAGACTGTCTGAGATCCCTGAATTCTCTGTCAAAAATTCCCTTTTCAGGATCTAGATGAGCCTCTTATCCAAATTCATCTTCTTAGACAGACCGTGTGTCAGATGTACATATTATGTGCCTTGGCCAGGGTGGTCAAGGATTGGTGATTTGCTGCAGTGTGGTGTGGATTATACTTGGACGCACACACTGCCGTGTCCACTCACATAAACATAAATCCCCCCTTGGATGATGGAGATCGGGGTGGGAGGAGGGTGCCCCTCCTGTGCTGTGCTGTCCTGTTCTAGGAAGAAACTCCAAAGAGCCCAAGAATTCTAAATTTAAACTTGGTCATCTTGATTACAACAAAAATGTATTTGTAAAGGTTGGAAGAGAGAACACATTTTATTTAACGTATTTCAGGGTGATAGACAACTATTCATTTTTTATTTATTTTTTATTGTTTTGAGACAGAGTCTCACTATGTTGCCCCCAGTAGAGTGCTGTGACGTCATAGCTCAAAGCAACCTCAAACTCTTGAGCTTCAGCGATTCTCTTGCCTTAGCACCCGGCTATTTTGTTGTTGTTGCAGTTGTCATTGCTGTTTAGCTGGCTTGGGCCAATTCAAACCCACCAGCCTGGGTGTATGTGGCTGGCGCCCTACCCACTGAGCACAGGCGCCGCCAGATATAGAACTTTAAATACAACCATGGGCCACATAACACGGTTTCAGTCAATGACAGACTACATACACGACCGTCCCATAAGGTACACTGCATTTGTGCGATATGTTTCAACTTTACGTATGTTTAGATAAATAAATACATACCCTTACAATTGCCTGCAACATTCAGTACAGTGACATGTTGTACAGTTAGTAGCCTGGGAAGAATAGACTCCAACACGTGACCAAGGTGCTCAGTGGGCCACGGAGGTTTCTGTAAGCACACTCCATCATGTTCACAGCTCACTGAAATCACCTAATGATGAAATCATCTAACACACTCCTCAAAGCATATCCTCATCATTAATTGGTACATGACTGTATGTCGACATATGTATACATATATATTTGAATGCATATATACACACACGATGTGGAATCTCCATTGGACTTGCATGCTAATCCTGTAATGGTGAACAGGTCCACATTAGGGAAAGATGCTGGTAGACTTTAAATTTCCATTTTCTGTACATTAATTGAACTAGAAGTTTCATTCGGTAATACACAGTCCCCCATACTCCTCCATGGATATTGTATAGTAACCCTATCCTGGCCAGCTCTGCTCTGTGAGAAGTAAGATTCTACTTCTACGCAAACCCAGGAGTCGTACTATTTGCGGTACATCTTTGCGAGTAACAGTCACAGAATTTGAGCTGGCAAAGCTGGGGCATGTGCAGCCCTAGAATAAGGGTCTGTTAATCTATAGATGTTCTGTAAATTTGATTGATAAACACAAGGCTTCAGATAAAGATGGTTTTAGCTAATCTTTGAGGTAATTTATTGTTTCATTGGACTAGTGGTCCTTTCAGCAACCCATCAACACTTCCCAAGTAGTCTCCCAACCTTTGGGAACTTCAGTGGACTATGAGTCAAGTTTGAAGACACTTGTAGTTGATTCTTTCTTTCATTCTGTTTCCCAGTGCAGCCATCAGGGGAAGTTAAATGTGAATCATTGTGATTATTACACAATTGTATGTTGTATGTTTTAGTTATGTTATCAGGCTTTGCCAGGAACCACCTTTACCAGGTGCTCTGAGGAGAATATTCCTGATATTTGCTAGCATAAGAATCACACTTGAGTTTCCAGCCATAGGTTCTCACAACATTCATTCAACACATTTTCAACAAGGACCATATGCCAGCCAGGCACATAAATAGAATTGCTAATTATGTACCAGTGGGGACATATTCATTCACACCATAGATGCAGTTAATGCTATAAGGAAGCTTATGTGATCTAGTGGGTGAGCCAGAAATTAGACAAATATTAGTACAAAAAATACCCATTTGAATTTTTCTTACATGCTAGAAGGACCAGGGAAGAACGTGAAAAGAAATTATCAGAGATGAACCAGCCCTAACTGGCAGAGAGCAGGGTAGGTCACAGAAGGCTTCTTTGAGGAAATGACATTTAAGCAGAGACCAGCAGAATGCACACATGTTACCTGGGCAAAGACAAAGCATTTGGCATGGCCCTGAAACAGGAAAGAGCCTTGATTAACTGGAGGAAGACCAAGGTGACTGGAGAGGGAGTGAGTGACAGGACTGAAGAGGGGTACAGGGCCCAGATCAATGACAATCAGTCCTCCACACTTCTGCTCTGGGCCACATGTGTTTTAGGCATTGTGGGCTGAGGGGCAAAGTTGAAGGTGTTAGGCAGGTACTTAAATATAAGGAAAGAGCACAAATACCTACATTTTTCATTGACAAAAATTAAGATGCAATAATATGTCATGAGGTGATAATAATTGAGGTGTTTTGGTAATAGGAATACAGCTCTATTATTGGGTAAAATGAAATTCTTTTGTGGAAGGGATACATTTTGCTTAACAGGGCTTCAAAATCTGCATTACCTATGACCAACTTGATTAATTTTTATGTATTTTACCCTTATAAATCTCTTCTTACACATACATGTACTACCAAATACTGATATGCATCCACGAACATACGATTTACTTGATTATATTCATCCTTTGGAACCAGACATTTACAGAATTCTCTTGTAGTAGATTCCTCTGATACTTGCCTTTTAATTTGACGTCATGTCGCAGGCTAATCATTTCCAATTTCAGGTTAGGTGGCGGTGCCTTGATTTCACAGTTGCATGGAGTTTTAAATACAAAAAATTTCCTTTGCCCTTTCATTAAAGTCTGAAAGTTCTGCTGGCTGTAATTATTCTGGAGTCCACAGAAAGGTCATTTGTTTTATTATGTCAAATAATACTGGATAATCTTTTCTCTAAAGTCCTAAGGGAGAAAAAAATCTAACTAAGATTGTAGGCAACAATTAAACTGTAGTTTGTTATGTCCAATGATATCTAGTTTTGTCTATTTTAAAAATGTTTGCTGAACTTCCTAAGCAGAAACCAAAGTTTCAGCTTTCCACAACCCAATTTAGATGGCAAATGCCATGACTGTACTTTACGTTGTAGTTAAAATTTTTTGATATTTACCAGTCCTGCAGATAAAACGATCAGGCAAACAATTCAATTGTGGAAGAATTTGAACTGAAAATGTATAACCTCCTAGGTTCACATCTTTCTTAGCTATTCTCACAGTGCTTCTCACCACAGGTGAGTTCTTAATCTGGGTTTTCTTTGACTCAAAATGCAATTTTATTTCAAAAATCTCAGAGGAACTTTCAACCAAATTATTCTAACTCCTTCGACGGCAGTAAAGACAGCAAAGAAATGTTCATTGTAACAGTTTCATAGCACCATAGGATTGCCTAAGGACATTAATGAAGAAGAGAATTTAAAGATTTCTTTTCAGTCTTTGCTGAGAAAACATCCCCCACACTGACAAGACCAGGTAGAGGGGTTCACTGTGATTTTGCTTTTTATTGTAACCGATTATTTCTGAGACAAGCAAAGAAGCAGAGAAATAAAAGAACATTGGTGAAGGGATTTAAGAGCTAAATACTGAAGTTAGAAAGTGATCCTTGATAAATGCATGTCTGTGTTCATTTTTTAGCACTGCATAACAAATTCCCATAAACTCAGAACCTTAACACAGTACCTATTTATTTCATATTAGCTCACAGTTCTGTAGCAAATCCAGCATGGTGTGGCTGGGTCCTCTGCTCAGGGCTGAAATCAGCAGGGCTGAGTTGTCCTCTGGAAGGTCTAGGGGGACATCTGTTTCGTCTAGGGGGACATCTGTTTCCAAGCTCATTCCTGTAGGGAGAATTCAGAGGCCTCAGGTGGAAGAACTATGGTTCTCCTTTCCCTGCTAGCTGTTAGCTGGAGCAATGCTCACTTCCCAGAGGCCGCCTCAGTCTGGGAACAGGCCATACCCTCTGCTAAGATCCATCCAGATCATCTCCCTTTCCTAAAGTCAAATACACCCTACAAGAATCTAATCAAGGAAGAAGAACCCTTCAAATTCACAATCCTAGAGATTTTGAAGGGTGTATACACATCAAGAGGGTAAATTGGGGGGGGGGCGTTTTAGAATGCTGCCTACCACAACATCCCACAAGCGGAAGTCCAGGCAGCCACACATATCTGTATATGTACACAAGGTATACTTATTTTTCCCATTTAACTTGTGAGACTTCATTTCTGAACCTCTTCATGCTAGAAATGGTTTTATAGCATATGATTTGCTGCTGAGTCTATAAATAAAAATGATAAAATGTCAGAGGGCAGAAAGCTTCATGGACACAATAATAATACAAAAACTGAAGCTTCATGGACACAAAAATAATCATTTTGTTTGTAAAGCAGCTAACATCACTCATTCTTCAACCCCCAAATTTCTCACCTAAACAGATATCCTACAAGGATTATGATAGCTGTGAATATTCAGCTGGAGGTACACAAGAGTGAATATTTGTAAGTGTGAGAATACTAAAAATATTCAAATATTCAGAAACTGAAACATAATCCTGTTTCTTCAGGAAAATAAATGTATTTGCATTTGTAAAATAAAATGTTCTAGTAGGCGAATGCATGCGTATTGGGTAAAGATAACTTGTTACTTTCCACAAAATACATACTTTTAACAGAAAGCTCAGTAAAGAGTGCCTTTAAAATCATGGATAGCATCAACACATGTAGACAGATAATAAACGCGTATGTAAACATATCTATTTTAAAATCTAAATTTATCATGATCTATGTGTATATGGCTTAATAAAAGGAAAAAAATAAAGACTAAATTTAAGGATCAACTAATGTATTAAGGTTCTTCTTATCCTTGTATTGCTGAGATCCCTATATTTCTTTTCTAAAATGTGTCAGAAAAAAATAAATTATACAGTTATTTTATTTTTTACATTATAATCTAGCTAATATTTGATTTCCAATGTAAAACATATTTTATTCATTTATTTCAGGGCTTAGACTGTCCCTAACACATTTTAAGTGTTTAAAAGTAGCTTTATAAGTGAATTGAAGAGAGTTTTTTTTTTCCAGTAATTTCCTATAAGGTTACTAAAAAATATACTAGAATAGAAAATATTTATATATGTATTTCTTTATCAATAAAATCATGATAATGTTTTATAAAGCATTTATTTCTGGAAAGTATAAATTTACAGGATTTGTGCTATGCCTACTCAGATTCTCTTCTAAAAAAATCAAAGAATCAATTCAAAAAGAATGTGTTTACAGTAGCAGAGAAAGATTGATTGTGTGCAAATCATTTCAAGACTATGAGGATTGGCTGCCAGGTTGTTTTGTTTTCGGTGTGAACTTTGAAAACAAGACTTGGTCTCAGTTGCCGTGGAAAGTCAGCTTCTCTGTGCTAACACTTGTTTGCAATATGTTTGTTTTTCTGATTAACATGTTCTCTGCCAATATTATGGAATTCTAAAACATTAACTTTTTTGAACTGGGGGGGGCCATTATTAGATGTCTCTAAATTGACTAGAATAAATTGTTCTTTTTTCTTCTCCAGGAATAAAACCTATATGATCAACTGGCTGCCATCTCTTTAGTTTCTTTTGCTGCATAAAAAGCCATCCAAAGTTTAGTTGTACAAAAAAAAAAAATTAATAATTTTATTTATTTATATGTCCTGTGAGTTATAAATTCAGCATGCGGTAGTGATAACTTACCTTCGATGATGTCTGGAAGCTCAGTTGGGGAGAACCAAATGGGGCAAACCACACCACTACTGAATAGAATTATCTGGAAGCTTCTACACTCACATATCTGGACTTTGGCTGGGATGACTTAAACTGTGGTCATCTTGGACTATACACCCACGGCCTGTGTGGCATGGAATTGTTCATAGCGTGCAGCCTCTGAGCGGCTGGTTTCTTACCTGGGGGCTCAGAGCTTGACAAGAGCACATTCTAGCCAATGAGGCAAAAGCTGTATAACCTTTTATGACTTAACCTGAGAAGTAACAGCATTATTTTCTCTGTGTGCTATTGGTCAACTAGTCATAAGATCACCAAAATGTATGTTCCCCTCCATATACTATGAAGATGCCCCAGCAATGTGCCCCCGCCCCCAAGGGAACCATGTTTCCCAGCCTCCCTGGCTCTCCTCTGTGAAGTCTGAGCCCAAGGGTCATTCCTGGGCAAGAGCTTTTATGGTTTATCTTTTAAGGGTACATGTGAATCTTTCTAAATGAAGAATATAAATGTCTGAACACAATAACTAAGAAAATGACGTGAAGGCTATGTTAACCAGTTGGATGAAAGTATTTCAAATTGTATATAAAAATAGCACACTGTACCCCATGACAGTATCAATATACACAGCTATGATCTAATAAAACAAAATAAAATGTGGATAAAGTAAAAAAAAAAAAAAAAAAAGAAGAAGCAGGCTTGCCTTCTCTTCCCCTCTGTGCAAAATGCATGCACAAAACTCCTTTAAAGATGACTTTAGTCTCTGAATCCCTGTGGGGAGACAAGGTGACCAAGAGAAATCAGCATCTTTGACGTTTAGTCCCTGAAATCTTAAGGCTGATCTGTTACAGCAGCCGATATTACTTCAACTAATAGATTAAAAAAGTGGACACAATTGCCTAGTCTCAATTTCCTCACCAGTGATGTAGAAACAATAAAATCCACCGTAGGGTACTGTTCTCAGAGTAAATGAGGAAACATTTATCAGCAATCAGCCCAGTTCCTGGCACTCTATAAGCGCTCAGTGAAGAATAATTACAGCGTCACCTGTGCATTAACTTTCTACCACTCCTCTCATCTGGGTTAAAAGTAATCCCTCAAAAATGATTACAAGTAATTTTGTAAAATAATAGCAGTACTTAATTATTATGATTGATCCCTATCTTTTTGAACACTGGGAGACAGTGTTATGTTAATATATAGGAACACCATCCACCCATGCCCCACCACCAAACACACACACACCGAGGAATAAAACGTATCTTTTCAGCTCATGGTGTTTACAATTGCCACAGGTCAGATTTGATAGGAAGAGCAGAAAGATCAGAAAAAAACAAATAATAGAACGCTCACACCTAATAACTCTTATTATTAGTTTTCTGTCATTATGGGCCACTTACCAGATATTTCTGCTTAGGGCTTAAAACTAAAGCACAGAGAGAATAAAATTGCACACCACCACCACCAACAGCAAAACTAAGGATTGTTTCTTTCTTTGTCTTGATTGCTATAACTGCACCCATCTGTCTCAACAGCTTCAGTCAAGATAACCAATTGTGAGAGAAAATGGTTAAAATATAAATTCTTAAGCTATCTGAAGGAGGGTATGCACTAGAAGGTACTTCTGAATGTTAAACTTGTGCTAATCATAAATTTCCCTTGAAACCTATGACAATTAGAGTATACAGAAGGCAGCTTTTATATCATTTTTATTACGTCCATTTTTAACCCAGATGGCACAGCCCCACGGATAAGAAGAAAGACTGGGCATGGTCTTGTCAGTTCTTTGCTTAGTTTACAGCGTGCCTGGAAGTCAATTGCCCCCCACAGAGCTGAGCCAAACTCACAAGCATAACATGTTTTGACTGATCAGGTCCCAAACGTGTTGGACCAGTCAAGCTAAGAAGGGAAGACAGCCTGTAATTTATGCACAGGACTGATGCCTATATAAGGTGTTTTGGTTTTTTAAATTGTGTGCTATTTCTAACTTGACTATAATCTGAATAATATTAGATAACTTAGAAAGCAGAGGGAAGGAATGAAAGCTTCCCCCTTCGTACCACTCCTGCTACGATGTGGAACGTTTTCCTCCCCATCCCTATTTGGCCTGTATTTGTAATTACAGTGTACATGCCACTTTTTACACTGTGACATATTTTTTAAAGGCACAATTTGGTACTCTCCAATGAAAGCCTTAGCAGAGGGTTTACAATTATTAAAAGAGTGGGAAGTTTATTGCTACAGTGGCTCTGTGTGCTGCCAGCTGGGCTGGCATTAGTGAGCTCTTGCTGGGGCGTTGAGGGCTTTCCTTCCTTTTGAAAAATCTCTCAATAAAAATGTTATATCTGCAGGCCTGGCTCCACGCTGGGAGAGGTCAGCTTCTCAGGCCTCTCTCTCCATGGAAAACTACCAGATACCATCCCCTATGGATTCACCTAAAAAATACAAGCTTTTATTTTGTCCTGAGACACCCTCACAATGATTGTGTGTGAAAGAAAACTTTCCAGGACATGTCTCCTTGTTTTCCGATTCTGTATTCATAAACAAAAGAAAGTGACACCTTCTGACAATAATAAATGCCCAGAAAAGGAGAAAAAATACCCTGTTCAAAAGTCTCAGACTCAGATAGGGGATCTCTTAAGAGCAGCAGAAATAGACCTCTTGGGAGTGGGAACATTAGGAACTTTCTGCATCTCATAGCTAGCAAGACATTTATAACTAGGAGGGGATTCATTGAAAAACACTTAAAGATCTATAAAACAGTATTAAAATACAGTCTTGAGTGATTCATTATAAAAGATTAATGAGATAATTGTGGGAAATAATTTGGGTAATAAAATATATTGAAGACTCTATGTGTAGTAGTTTCCTGGGACTGCTGTGGTAAAGTCACACAAGTTGGGTGGCTTTATTTTGTATTATTAAATCATAAAAAGGTAGATTATGCATACATTAATGTATTTGTGGGGCACGATGTACTGATTTCATATACCATTTGGAATGCTTACACCGTGCTGGTTAATATATCCCTCACCTTTAAATGAAAGAAATGCATTGTCTTACAGCTCTGGATGCCAGAAATCAACGACT